CGAGTCAGCCGACTCACACCGACTCCGCACCGCGCGACTGGAGCTGGCCTCGAAGCTGCAGAAGCAGAATCCCAAGGCGCCGTTGCTGCGACGTGTGGATCCGAAGACGGGCCAGATCAAGACGGCGGGGCAGGGGTTTGCGGGCACGGGGAAGGCGGGCATTAGGGATCCGGACTGGGATTGGGATGAGGAGGGGAAGAGGGGTGGGGATTGGAAGAATTGGTATGTTAAGCCTAGGATTAGGGGGGAGGGGGTGGCGATTAGGGAGGGGGAGGAGGAGGAGAGGAGGGGGAGGATGAGCTGGGTGAGGAGGTCTGAGGGAGGTGGGTTGGTGGGTGATGGGTTTGGTTCTGGAGTGGGGGATTGGACGTTGGGGATGGAAAGGGGAAGGGGAAGGGGAAAAGTGGGTTGATGGGTGAGGGAGGGAGGTAGGTGCTGCTTCTTAAAAGAATATTTGGATTTCATTGATGGCTATGCGAGTTTGTTGCCTTGGCTGGTCTGTCTGTCATGCCACGTCATGCTGTGTCTGAGCTCTTGGGTTTGACTGGCCCTGACAATTTCAAAGATGGTGTAGAGAATGGCCTTCATATACTCAAGCCTTTTCAGGTACTTGCATACAACGTATTGAGATACAAGCACAAGATAACAAGCCAGTATGACATTCTTTAGTTGTTGTACTGGATCGAGCCGACTCCCTAGCAGCGGTTCCTCATCGGCGTTTCGTCTGTTGAACTCTGAACGGAAACTTGTTTCGTGAATGCTAAGTTCCTATTTCATAGAATGCTGTAGTCACAGTAATTGAATGTTAAGTTAGCTAAACGAGCTTAGTCTAGTTGCTTGATTCAACAGTTTCACTCAGCTTTTCTGGGATAAATCACCCGACATACGCAATCGCTGAAATGCGTGTATTGATGCACTTCGTTAGATTGCAGAACATTCCCAAAGCCTACCAAGAACCCATAGCTCCCATTTTCAGGTGCTCTTGCTTGCTTTCTCGTGGTTGCCTCCATTAACAAGTCTGCCTTGTGCTTTGCCTAGTGTTGATCCATATCCTCAGCGACAAGCTCCATAGCCTTGTCCGAGCCTGTAAGAATTGCATTCCACTGCTTGCACGCCAAGCCACCCTCCCGTAGCGTGACTTCAACCTCGACATCGGCATCTGGTGGTGGTACAGTGGCGTGCATGCCAGCCTTATCTGTTGTGGGGCGGACCCATTTGCCACTCACGGGCTTGATGTTGAAGCGTAGAATCATCAAGGCAACGAATGCAATGATCTCCGTAATGGCGAAATGTCGACCGGGACAGAGCGTAGAGCCTCCACCGAAGCCGCGAAATCCAACGGGATTCAGACGTCTACCGTTAGTACGTACGAAGCGCTTATGGTTAAACTCGTTGACGCTGTCGCCGTATACGGCTTTCGAGCTGTGCTGAACTGGGCCGGGGATCATGAGGGTGCTACCCTTTTTGAGTAGGTACTTGTCATCGAGGAGATGATCTTGCTGGACTACTCTAACAGATGTGCCAGTGCCGTGGACACGCAAGACTTCTTGCAATGTCGAAAGCAAGATCGGGCACGAAGTTTTGACCTCAGTTATGTCGATGGCGACACTGCCATCTTCGATCTTGCAAAGGCGATATAATTCATCTCTGCACTCCTCGAGAGCTGCGGCGTCTGAGATGATATGCCAAAGAACCCAGAATGCGGATGGAATGGTATTGGTCAAAATCGCCACAGCACCTCCCAACTCGAACCTCGCGGTATCTTCGTTTGACACGTTGTAGTCAACACTGTGCTGGTATCGTGCGCGGATGAGTGCTGAACCTTGTTCGTGTCCGCCACCGCCGAAGTAGTCCATGAATGCTTTCACGATCTTTTCGCGAGCTTGAAGACTTTCTTTGGCCAATACAGAGGGGAACAGCTGGAGTAAGAGAATCACAATACCAGGTTCGAACTTCCTACACCCGACTGTAAGCGCTTGACTAGGCTCAGGTCGAGCATGAGACTCACCAGAACGCACTCAAAATCTTGGGATCTCGGAATGGGTTGCTAGGGCCATAGACCGCCTCGGAAGTAGCCCAGGCAATGTTCTTTTGAACCCACTCAAACAAGTTCATAGTTGTAGGGGCGTTCGAAGCCAATGTGTCTAAGAATTCGGAGACCTTCTGGATGGAGAGCCTGTTCATGGTATCTAGGCTGGCACCTGGGGTCACGGCGGGATGGATTGCCTTGTCAAACTCTATAGCGTAGCTATACTCACCCACGCCGTTGCGGTTCATCTTCAGTATTTCTTTGCCTGCCGGTGTCGCTCCCATCACGTTCATCGCGGCTCTTGCCTCGATGGCCGCGAAGTCGAGGACACGGACCTGACGTTGAACGACAGGGATCAAATTGGTTGAGTTGATAACGTAAATCCTCGACCCAGGAAGTCGCAAGGTGTAGATGGGTAGATTATACTTATTACTAGTATTAATTTAGCAGACAAAATCATTTCGATGTCAATTGCAGTTGACTTACCGGATGTCTGTGTAGAACTTGGCTTTCTTCGCCATGCCGATCATTGGGCTGAGGAATGGGATTTCTGTCGCGACCGCCGTAGGCTCCTTCTCGTCGTGGGTGTACAGAAGCAAGAAGCGCAGAAAGGCATATGTCACCGCCAGGCTGGAGACCCCAATAACGGCGCCAGACGCCATGGTGGATGTTGTCTCGATGAAGGTGAAGAATAGAGTCATCAAAACCTTTGGGTGAGACAGCTATGAAGATGTTTACGTACTTTAGGAGGTGAAGGAAGAGCTCGAAAGTGACTGGGTGCGTCTAAGCCTGCCCACGCAGCTGCAAACGCCTTCTTGTCCCATAGCTGCTGCGACCCTGCCTAAGTCCCTATGTCCATTCCTTTCATGTCTGGGACATTTTGGTTGCGTGTTTCATCGATTCTACCACCCTGATGCATGTACCCAAAGTGTGCAAATGCGATCAATGGAGGTCGTAATGTAGAACTACAGTACTATGTAGGCAAATGGTGGCACAGCATGACGCTAACATTTATCTTCTCCCATTGGCCAAGGTCATTAAGAGAAAGACTGAGAAAGTACAGATACCAAGCTAGAAGGTAATCTGTAACGTTAACTAAGGTAGTTCTTTTACTTACTAGTGATCTACAAGATCGCAAACTTGCAAAGTTAACCAGCTCATTGGTCTGCAGACTGAGTTCAAATTATACGTAGTATGCTTGATAAGCACCTGAAAGACGGGCTGTTGGTGTGGCCAATTCGGGCATGCTTGAGAATGGACCTGTTTGTTTACTACCGTGTAAACAAGAGAGACACAAGATGGTGAGTGTAGAAGGTTAATACATCGGCATTGGTTGTTGTACATGTTAGAATGTAGTATCAGAGTGGGAAGGACTGAATTTGAGTATGCTTGTTACAATTTGATCCTGTTTCTTCTTTGCTGACTTCCATGCATATCTAGATTCTGCGCGTGAAACTTCAAGACAGTGATACTTACTTGGTTCTTTGGAGGAAACGACACAAAATAGATAGGATAGAAACTTATACAGCAACACGTCAATGATCAGGAAGCACAAACGAGAGAAAGCGAGAAAACGATTTTCAATCAACAACCGGAAGATGGGATAAACACAGGAACACAGAAACACAGAAACACAGAAACACAGAAACACAGAAACACAGAAACACAGAAACACAGAAACACAGAAACACAGAAACACAGAAACACAGAAACACAGAAACACAGAAACACAGAAACACAGAAACACAGAAACACAGAAACACAGAAACACAGAAACACAGAAACACAGAAACACAGAAACACAGAAACACAGAAACACAGAAACACAGAAACACAGAAACACAGAAACACAGAAACACAGAAACACAGAAACACAGAAACACAGAAACACAGAAACACAGAAACACAGAAACACAGAAACACAGAAACACAGAAACACAGAAACACAGAAACACAGAAACACAGAAACACAGAAACACAGAAACACAGAAACACAGAAACACAGAAACACAGAAACACAGAAACACAGAAACACAGAAACACAGAAACACAGAAACACAGAAACACAGAAACACAGAAACACAGAAACACAGAAACACAGAAACACAGAAACACAGAAACACAGAAGACGGAACAGGAACTTACTCCCCTTACCCTCCCAGTTCTGCATCCAATCGATTCGTAGTGATTAATCCAAGTGAGCTGGGAGCTTATCTGACTTACCTGGCAAGAAACGGTCAAAAAATAACCCACCCAGAAAAGACTCAGACCTGCACACGGACTCCTTCTCCTTTTCATATTCGAGATGCAAGACCAGTCCAGCTTCCTCTCTCTCCCTTCCTCCCTTCTCCATCCCAATCTCTTAAGGATGATTGGTACAGTTTCAACCCTCTCGCATCATGGCATCTTGCTCTCTCACCATCGTCTCCCCATCCTCAACCTCGTCTGCCTCCTACTCATCCTCTTCCACAGCCGCACCAGCGTGCACTCGCGCATGATGCTGATGCGCCTCCCCTCCTAACCCCCTCAGACCGGGATGCACCTACACCTGGCGCGGCGCTAGCCGCGACCGTGGCGATATAGGCCGAGTCAGCGGTAGGAGCCCGGTTAATACAGCCGAGTTGAAGTACACCGAGTTGAACCGAACTCCTCGCATTGCAACACCGACTTCACCGTCATAATCATCAAGCTCAGGATCGCGTTCGCACAAGCAAACTTCCTCATCTCCCCAACTCCCATCTGGGTGAGATTCCGCCTCGCACCCCTTCAGATCCAATACCTCCATATCCACCCGCGTGTCCTCGAAGAAACGTTCATAGTCGGCCTTTGCGCGCCGACCGGGCGACCCGCTCTCGAATGGGACGAGCGTTGATCTGATCCGAATGCATCGCACGAGTCAATATCCAAGAGCCAGTCTGGGGAGATGAGGTGGGTGAATGAGGAAGAGGTGGAGGAAGAAAGGTTGTTGCGGGGGTCGTGGTAGGGTGAAGTGTAAATCTGAGGACGGGGGTCGATGTCGGGGTCGGGGGAGAAGGATTGGATGAAATGTGGGAGGCTGCGGAAGAGAGAGATGTAGGGCTCATTTAGAGGGTCGCGGGATGGGTTGTGAGTGGAATCTAGGATTGGGATTGGGGTTGTAGAGGAAGGGTGGGTGGGTAGTGAGAGCGAGTTGGGATGGGATACGGAATTTGGAGTTATGGCTCGATGCGAGGCTGAGCTGCTGTTGGAATTGGACCCTGAGTTCGAGATTGAATCTGGCCGGCTGGGCTCTAACTCTGACACATGCGTGGGTATTGAGTTCTGGTGAGCACAGACTGCGCAACTGGCGAGGGAGAACTTACCAACTAGCACTGGCGGTGTGCATTCGCGGTTGCAGTAGTGGATGTGAGTGAGGATGGCTTTCGAGCAGCGTTCGACATGGAAGATGGGCTCGAGGTGCCAGCACCGGAAGATCTTGCAGATGGTTATGATACACATTTTGGCGCACAACGTGTAGCTGCTTGATGATCAGTGGAGGGCCGAGATCTGTGATTGGGAATTGTGTTGCAAAGCTTGCTGGTGGTGAGTGAGTAACAGGGACTTGGGAAAGGAGAGGTAAGGGAACAGGCCAGGGAAAAGAGGTTATATAGCGGAACAGACAAGCAAATACAGCCTTCATCCAAGGCTGCACCTCACTGATGATGAAAATGACAAAGAATGCTCTCACCTTTGTGCCACGGTGCGTTCTGTCATTGATGGTATGATGTAAACACAAAGGATGATGGGACAGAACAATAATGAGATTGTACGACTTGGAACAAAGTCCTTTGAAATGTTGATCATGATACGAAGTACTCATCCTGCGCAACGACATGTCCTAACCCACATCCCGAGGTAGTGAACAACCCTCCACACTCCCTGGGTGGTGAAAGTGAAACAGGTACCCAGAGCTTGGCTCCTTATTCTTCACCACCAACACCACCACACGTGGTGGTTCCCTTCTGAATAATACGAATCAATTGTGCGGACGCATATGTAGGCTCCAGCACCTCGACAAAGGCTTCGCTGCATCGCAAAAGGAGGAATACGCCATGATGCATGAGCGGTGGTAAATTGTCAATATTATACAAAAGAAGATTTCTTGTTATTACTGTTCTTCATTTCCCTTAAAATACCACCTATACTATGGAAATAGACCACATAAAACTGATTCAGCGTTTACTTGAAGACACAGCCAAGCATGGTGGATTAATTGTGCTTTCTAAAGAATATCGATAGCGTGGAAAGGTACTTCTGGAAGATCAGGTATCAAATCCTTACAGCTTGCCAAAAAGATTTGTAAAGACACACACTCCAGCCACAGCACCGCCAACCACATTCGATGCGGTTCTATGAGCTTCCATGACAAAGCCATGTGATTCGCTTCCATCTCGCAGCGAGCTTTCGTTCCTGCATGCGTTATGGCGCTTAGGCTGTACGATCACTACCCGCCACTAAAAGAAGGTTCTAACTAGTAATGTCGATCGTTTCGCGAACACGAGGCAAGAGTAGCGACCGCAAGAACAGCGTTTCCTTGCAGCCGAGCAAGTCGACTCTATGGCGCCGTGCTCGAGACCGCCCAACGCTGAAAGACAAGGCCGTACGCCAACAATATCTCACTCCCTGCGAAGAGGAAGCGCTGGTCCGCTACGTCCTGGAATATGCCGAACGTGGATATCCTCTGCCTGCTAAGTCCCTTCGATCACTCGCGCTGGTTATCGCTCGTCGTCGAGGCTCTGACGACCCCGACCTGCATTTGCCCGGCAAGAATTGGCTTTAAGGTTTCTACAAGCGCCATCTTATTCTTAAAGCAAAAACACTGAAGGCTTTAGATTAAGCACGACACAATCACAATATTTACGGTAAGATTGTGGACTAGTTTACCCTGATAGGTCAAGAGCTCCGGAAGGTCATCCAGCCCGAAAATGTGTACAACATGGATGAGACGGGTGTTTTGTTGAGTCATCTAACGTCCCGCAAAGTGCTGGTCAGTAGTCATGACTTAAGAAGGTACTGTGGAGCCGCCGTGAACCGGACATTGATCACTGCCATAGAGTGTATCGCAGCAGACGGGTTATATCTTGTCCCACTTATTGTCTGGCCTTCCGCCACAACGTGTAGCAATTGGTATACTTACCCTACTCCCCACTGGCGTTTTACGTGCTCAAAGACCGGGTACACGAATGCCGAAATAAGCCTCCATTAGATTTAGCACGTATTTGATCCGTTGACCAAACGACGAGCTGGTGGTCGACCTCGCATCCTGGTCAACGATGGACTGGCCACGCATAAATCTCTAGAAGTGCTAACATTTTGCCATGAAAACAACATCATTCTCTGTCGTCTACCGTCCCACACCTCCCACAAACTCCAGCCCTGCGACGTCGGCGTCTTCGGTCCCTTGAAGGCTGCTTACCGTGAGCAAGTCGAACAGTTGTTTCGTGGTGGTGCAAACACCGTTGGCAAACAACACTTTACTCTGCTCTACGACCGCGCTCGAACCACAGCTTTCACATCCGAAAACATCAAGTCCGCATGGCGCAAGGCAGGTTTATTTCCTTTTGATCCTGATTGTGTGCTCCGAGGTATGAGACACCCTTCTACGGGAATGCTCACTGTGCCCGGTGCGCGAGCTGCCCTCAGTGCGCCGGTCAGCTCTTCAGTCGAAGACATGCCCCCGACTCCGACCACGTCAGAAGCCTTGACGTCAATGCGTGTGAAGGTCGAAGAAGATCTGGCATCGGCAGGGACCAGCAGCACACAGCGAGTGCAGAAGATCATCAAGGGTTTCCAGAGCACGCTCGCTCATTGTGCTGTCTTGTCCGCTGAAAATCAGTGGCTGGTGGAGCAGAATAATGAGAAGACGTCACGAGCTTCGGTTCGATCAACTGTTGTAGGTGGACCCAAAGTGATGACATACGATGACATTATCGAACGACAACAACTTCGAGAGACCGCAGAAAGACGAAACACTGTAGTAACAAAACGCCGTAAGGCTGGTCAACAACCTGCTGAGAGCCACACTGCAGAGCAGGCAGGGTGAACCGTGCTCAAGTTGAAGTCTGAAGGAGTTCAGGACTATCGTCAGGCCTCCTCTTGTGCCCTTTCTCTTTTTTGCAACCTTTCGCCAGCTCCTGACAAATGAGGGCATGTTGTAGATCGAAAGTACAATGGTATGGAGGAACATAGGCGTTAATGGAGCAAGTCGATGACAATTCTTTCTAAGTTCTTTCGGGTATGATAGCAAAGCGTGTCTACTTGATGCAATCAGCGAGGTTCGTTCATTCCTTGAACAGGAACAGTTTTGGTGTCTTTGTATCTTTCTCCTATCACCCTGTTGCCGACTATGACCATCAGTTTTCCCAGTGGCTCATCATCTAGAGCCGTCTTCTCTGCTTGAATACTCTACGACTCCATAGGATGACTGTATTGCACATATAAAAAGATTCGTAGAATTCTCGCCTGAAAGGTGCAATTAAAAGATGCCGCCGTGTCCTCCAACGTGGTTTCCCTGGAATATCGACCCTCCACTGACTGTAGTCGACCCAAACTGAGGACTACCTTGAGTTATCTGGAGAGCCTGATGCCCTCCCGTTCTGTCCACACCCTTTCCGCTCGTTCTATCTCTATGTGGACTTTCAACGTGCGACAATCTTACGTTCTCAGACCTAGCTAAGGCCTTGACCCAACGACGAAGCTCGCCCGCAACAGCCTTGAAGCCTGGGTCATCAGCATTTTCAAATTTGGTCATATCCATATGATTGCTTCGAATCCCTATTAGAATGTATCCGGGAAGAGTGGCAGAGTGAGCCGGCACTACCTAATAAGGAGTAAGAACAATGACACCGAATGAGAAGATCTGTCGACTTACAAGTCCAATGCCAGGCAAGGGCAACTCCTCAAAAAAACAAGTGATCTCGATTGGCGGAAGCCGATCCTGAGCTCGTGACCGGATCATAGTGTGAAATCCATGCTGAACTCGCTCGAGAACCTCAGAGTCGCTCTTAAGAACGGCTAAGATATCCGGATTCGTTTGCTTGAGCACGCCAATGGCCTTGGCTAGACTTTCTGTCCAGTGTGCAAGGCCGGAGCCGTGGTGTGGAGTGCCCAAAAATACAATCCCCCGAGTGCAATGGAGAACTTGCTTGAGATGGTTTTCTGGTCGCTGCTGTGCCGTTGTGAGAGCCTGAGTTCATCAGACTAGCCCGTTCACCATGGGAGATCACTCACGTCCTCGCAGACAAGACCTCCCAAGCTATGACAGACAAAGATGATGGGACGATCGTTCTACCATAGTGAGTCTGGTTGTCTGAAGCTGCATTTCTGCAAAAGGCTCACAGTATCATCCTCTTCTCTGTAGGTCGCAATGGCGGCGAGCAGGTTCATCGAATGGTTTCCAATCCTGTTCTTCGAAACCATGCCCTGCCAGTCAGACACGTATGCGTCGTATCCGAACGTGAGTATTCGGGTGTTATGAACATGGGACGGTAGTAGGGTTTGAGGCCACGGGGCGACAGCTTTCTTTGTCTTCCACGTCTTCTCACGATCTCCGGTGAGGCCATGTACAAAAATGACGCTGAGTTTCAGGTTTCATTAGCCAGTGTATTCCCGTTTACAACTCTAAGCTTTATGAAAACGCCCAAAGAGTAGACAACTTACTCGACTGCATCACTTTCACTTTTGTGGAAGAACTTCAGTCCTGAAGGAAAGATCTTTCTCGATGGTGCTCTCGGTTGGGACAGAGGTGTAGAGAATGCGCTCTCAGCAGCAGCATCTTTGTTGCTGGTGGGCTGCTTCGCCAAATGCCACGGCCATTTCATTGTTTGCCGTAGCTTTGCGTGGTGATATAGGTATATACTGACAACATTGCCGACCTTCCTGGCAGAGCTCGAGGAAGAATCTTAAAAGCCTTGTAGTCAAGCGGACCCCACCACGATCCCAATGGCTTGCGAGGGAACGGCTGCGACTCAGACTGATCGGCCAATCAACATCCACCTTGAGTTCTGCAAGCGCTTTGCAACTCAGCCTCGCCGCATTCAAGCTGAATGCAGAATGCTGGAGATGGCGTCCGTAGTCGAAGCTTCGACGATTCTCTCTCAACCATGGCGCCATGACTTCATTAGTATCAGCGCGCAATTCGGTCAAGCCGGCAGACTCACGACCGGGCCACACGGACATCCACCAAGAAGGCCCTCAATTTGGTGCTACACATGTCTCGGGCGGTAACTCCTTTCAAGGCAACTTTGTTGGTCTCACGATCAGTAAGCTCATGCAGGCCGCTACGCCCCGGCTTTCAACACTGATGACATCCAGACTCCACGGCGCGACCCGACTACCGCGGCCAGCTTTCGCACTCCTCGCTCGAGCCGGTGAAGGCTTTTGTTCCACGACCTCTCCTCTACGATCAGATCAGAACACAGTTGTGGAATGTCGATGTTACGGCAAACAAAAGCACAAAGACGCTCGTGGTATGGGGGCTTGGTGGCGCGGGAAAATCCCAGCTGGTGCTCAACTATGTACAAGGGTGCTGCACCGACTACCAGACAACGTTCTGGTTTGAGGCGGGACGAAAGGAATCACTCGAGCGAGATTTTGTCAACCTCTACCAGACACTGTTCAACATACAGATGGTCGCTGGAAAGGAAACTGTCAGCGTGGAGAGTGCAGTGATTGGCGTGAAGAGCTGGTTTTCTGGCCAGCGAGGGCCGTGGCTGATGGTATTCGACGGGGCCGACACTATCGAGAACAAGGAGGCGAGCGATTACGTCGACATCAAACATTTTATTCCAGATGTGGCATGTCTGCATGTGATCATCACTAGTCGCAGCAGGACGGCTAAAGACATGACACGGCTGGATGGGGTGCACGTTGGTGAAATGGAAGAAGCACAGGCTACAGAGCTCTTTTACCAGTACGCTCAGTTGCGGCAAAACAACCAAGACGTCGAACAGAAGGAGGTCAAAGCCATTGTTAAAGAGCTTGGGTACCTGGCACTCGCTGTGACTCTAGCAGGCACATACGTGGGACAAACTCCACGACTGCAGTCTGACATCAAGGCGTATCTCCCCGAATACCGGTTAAGGCGGCGCGAACTACTGAAGCGAAACCCGGAACAACTCATTCATCAGTACAGCGAGAGCGTGCTGACGACTTGGGAAACGTCGTATCAGGCTATCGTCAACCACTATCCGGAGGCGTCAACTCTTATGACCATGTTATCGTTCTTGAGTTTCGACGATATTTTCCTTCCGCTTTTTGGCACCAGATCGATTGTAACCACAACGTTAGCAGATGATGCAGCCACAATCAGCTGGAAATCTATTCTGTTCCCCAGTCGGGTAGTGGATATTTACCTAATGGAACAGTGTTTCCAGGTTTTGCAGAAATACTCATTCGTTCAATGGAAGGCGGATCAATGCAGCTATACAATGCATAAACTCGTCCACGCCTGGGGCTATGACAGACTTACTAGGGACGAACAAGATAAGTTCAGCGTCGCTACTCTTACACTGATTTTAGAAGCAGTGAACGGATGCGGGAATGCGCCAGCGGACAAGCTCAGGTTAGTACCGCATATTATGGCGCACTTGGCGACGATAGCTGGTGTTCAAGAAGTGGTAGACAGTACACTCTCCACACTAGTAGCAATGGGGATCTTTGTTACTGACATCGGCCGGCTGTTAGAAGGACATGTGATTCAGGAGTTCATATGGGTAAAAAGACGTAGCATCCTCGGTGACGAACACCCAGACACGATCTCGGCGATGAACAATCTCGCAAGCACGCTTGGAGATCTGGGCCAGCTTGACGAGGCAGCAAAGATGAAGAAGGAAGTGCTAGAGAAGAGAAGACGCATCCTCGGATACGAACACCCAGACACGATCTCGGCGATGAACAATCTCGCAAGCACGCTTGGAGATCTGGGCCAGCTTGACGAGGCAGCAAAGATGAAGAAGGAAGTGCTAGAGAAGAGAAGACGCATCCTCGGATACGAACACCCAGACACGATCTCAGCAATAGGCAATCTCGCGGCCACGCTTGGAGAACTGGGCCAGCTCGACAAGGCAGCAAAGATGCAGAAGGAAGTGCTCAAGAAGAGAAGACGCATCCTCGGAGACGAACACCCAGACACGATCTCGGCGATGAGCAATCTCAGCGAGACAGCGGAGATGCAGAAGGAAGTGCTAGAGAAGAGAAGACACATCCTCGGGGACGAACACCCAGACACGATCTCAGCGATGAGCAATCTCGCGGCCACGCTTAGAGAACTAGGCCAGCTCGACGAAGTAACAAAGACGCAGAAGGAAGTGCTAGAGAAGAGAAGACACATCCTCGGGGACGAACACCCAGACACGATCTCAGCGATGGGCAATCTCGCAAACACGCTTGGAGAACTAGGCCAGCTCAGCGAGACAGCGGAGATGCAGAAGGAAGTGCTAGAGAAGAGAAGACACATCCTCGGGGACGAACACCCAGACACGATCTCAGCGATGGGCAATCTCGCAAGCACACTTGGAGAACTGGGCCAGCTCGACGAAGCAGCAAAGATGAAGAAGGAAGTGCTGGAGAAGAGAAGACGCATCCTCAGGGACGAACACCCAGACACGATCTCAGCGATGGGCAATCTCGCAAGCACGCTTGGAGAACTGGGCCAGCTCGACGAGGCAGCAAAGATGAAGAAGGAAGTGCTCAAGAAGAGAAGACGTATCCTCAGGGACGAACACCCAGACACGATCTCAGCGATGAACAATCTCGCGGCCACGCTTGGAGAACTGGGCCAGCTTGACGAAGCAGCAAAGATGAAGAAGGAAGTGCTGGAGAAGAGAAGACGCATCCTCGGGGACGAACACCCTTCCACGATCTCAGCGATGAACAATCTCGCGGCCACGCTTGGAGAACTGGGCCAGCTTGACGAAGCAGCAAAGATGCAGAAGGAAGTGCTGGAGAAGAGAAGACGCATCCTCAGGGACGAACACCCAGACACGATCTCAGCGATGAGCAATCTCGCGGCCACGCTTAGAGAACTAGGCCAGCTCGACGAAGTAACAAAGACGCAGAAGGAAGTGCTAGAGAAGAGAAGACGCATCCTCAGGGACGAACACCCAGACACGATCTCAGCGATGAGCAATCTCGCGGCCACGCTTAGAGAACTAGGCCAGCTCGACGAAGTAACAAAGACGCAGAAGGAAGTGCTAGAGAAGAGAAGACGCATCCTCAGGGACGAACACCCAGACACGATCTCAGCGATGAGCAATCTCGCGGCCACGCTTAGAGAACTAGGCCAGCTCGACGAAGTAACAAAGACGCAGAAGGAAGTGCTAGAGAAGAGAAGACGCATCCTCAGGGACGAACACCCAGACACAATCTCGGCGATGAATAATCTCGCGGCCACGCTTGAAGATCTGGGCCAGCTCAACGAGGCTATAACGTTATTAGAAGCTGCTGAAGAGAAAACGAGACAGGTTTGTGGTGACCAGCACCCATATACAAAGGTGGTTGTACGTAATCTGGCTAGGCTCAGAACTAAGAACGCCGGGATAACCGCACAGCATATTAAGACATCAAACAATACAGAGACGAAGAGAGGACATTCGCTCTATGCTCGAATCAGAAGGAAGTTCTGGAGAAGAGATAATATAGAATAATAGGACTAATTTAAAGATAAATAACCATCTGTTACCTAAATCGATTTCTAGACATCTATTTAATCTAGGTAGCAAACGTGTTCTTTTCGGATACAGTAATTTGAGCCATTACTTCTTGCGCCAAATTTCTCTTTTCGGTGGCATGCCATGTTCGTAGTACTATAGTGTAGAAGCCGGCACACCGCTCAAGTTGGAGACTCAGCTATGGTTGCTGTTAAGATGTAAGTAACACCTGGGAGGCGAAACATAGTTTTCCATGTCGTTCTTTATCATTCTTAATCTAAATCAGAGAATCACATGACTTTGCTATGGATGCTGATATAATCGTGTCGAAGGTATCATCAACATTGCTGTGGCTGGAGCATATGCGTCTTTACAAACCACTTTGCCTGCCAAGCTGTAAGGTTTTAATACCTAGTATCTCGGAAGTATCTGTCCATGCCATAGAAATTCTCCGAAAATCAAAAATAATCCATCATGCTCAGTTGTGTTTTCAATTGGACACCGAATTGGTGTAAAATGCTCTATTTTCACAGCATGGGCGATGTTGTATAGGAGATTAAGCACCCTGATGGTAAGAAACTTCCCATGGAATAATTTTGACCAATAACCACCACCTATATATCATCACGTATTCCTCCTTCCGTGGTGCAGCGTGGCCCTTCTCACGATGTTAGGGTCTACAATACGTTCGAACATTCGATTTGCATTATCTGAAGAGAAACCATTGTATTTGGTGGCAAGGAATCAGGAGCCAAACGCTAGGTACCTGCTTCACTTTCACCACCCAGGGAGTTTGGAGGGTTGTTCACTACCTCGGGATGTGGGGTACTTGTCAAGCTTTGATACCACGGCCCAAATGCATGAAGTCTTGTGAAGTCAGTACCCAGTAAGCCAAGCTCCTTCAGCCAAACGCTCCCATCCACATGTTATGTACCTAGAGTACGACTGGATTGACGATGAATGCAAGGCCAGTAGCTAATGGCATGGGTCAGTCTCAATATCTTGAGACGGCGCACCGGCCTAAGACCTGCTCACGCAGCTATTGTTAGGGCGCGCAGAACAAACTCTCATCTGGAACCTCTTCAACCCAGGCTTGCAGCTTACCATCCCGCGACTTCACTTTCGTTTCTTTAACCCTGGTCTTTCTTTTCGGTTCTTCATCAGATTGACAAAGGTCAATGGCCGTGCCTGGGGTAGAGCCCAGGGCAGGGTCGAAGTGAATTTTTGGTTCAGGTACTGGTTGGGCTAAATCCTCATCTACGATGATGATGCACTCTCTCTTGTTTGAATGTTTAGGAACTGGTGTTGCTAAATCCTCATCTCTGATGATGATGCACTCTCTCTTGTTTGAGTGTTTAGGATCTTGATTCTCTGTGATACGTTTCCGCTTCCTGGTGTCGAGCTGTAACACGTCATTAATATTGCAGGTCCTTGGTGAAGAGTGATAGAGTGCATACCTCTGTAAGGATAGGATATGGGGGTGGTCGAGGAGGAGGCTTAGGAATCCGATTAGATTTCTTTAGGTTTTGTGTGGGAGCGATGTGCGGCAGCTTCTGGTTCTTCCTCTTTGTTGAGCGCTGCTGATCAAGCATATCTGGGAACGTTCACGAGAGCTACATTGTCATGTTAGCATTGTTTTAGGAGTACAAATGTCTGATCAAGAACTGAGACAAAAGTAAGAAAAAATATATGACTATAAAGCATTTTATGGTGGGAATGAAAGTGACAGATAAGGAGTATCAGAGAGACAACAATATGCGAGTAAGATAATATTGATCATGACCTTTGATGGGAAGATGGACCTACGAACTTGGATGAGTGGTTGCAAATGTGGGTTGATGTTGTCAATTTCGGAGGCTTGTGTGTTGGGGATAGTTGAACTGTGTGCAGACACTTTGAAATTGTCAATGAGAAGACGGGATATGGATTTAGGCGTGAGCTTCATAGACACACTAAGCCTGTCTCGAACAGAACACACGAACCCTCTCATCGACAGTGAGGCCTGCGGCCTGGATAATGTCATGAGCTGCAGCTAGGTGACTTTCGAGAACTAACAGTTGACCTTCTCGAGGATATTCACCGACTAAGCCATCGATTAGACCGCTCCCGAACATCTATAGACTAGAGTTTACGGTGGGGAACGTGCCGGGCACCACAGATTGCCATTGTGGGTCAAAGCAATATTCCAGTCCAGTCATTTCAGACTCTGAACTCGCAGATCCAGACTTTGGGCTTGAAGATGTGTAGAAAGAACGCTGTCATCCCTGGAGAAATTGCTTTGCAGAGCAAGTTTCCTGCGGCAGGGATGGACAGTAGTAGGCCATGCAATCCAGACATCAGATTTCCCTGAATTTTCATGCCTCGACCGTCTCTGGCCGTCCCCAAACGTGTCTCATCAGCCAGTCGACATATGCAGGACGTCTCCCTCGAAGCGTGGACAGGAGATCCTGTGAAAGCCCATACACCAATGATACCTTTAAGGCGGTCTTGGCCATTCTTGCAGAGGTAAAGAAATCCCATCGATTCTTCCAATTGCATATCCCTGCTGTTGCCATTCCAGCACATACAGTACTTGCAACATCTCGGTGTTTATCACTTCCTCGTCCCCGAAGCTGGTCGATCACCTCTTCAGTCACAATGAAGAGACTGGTCCACCCTGATAACCGGCCCCCCCATCGCAAACCTTCCTTGACACCGCCAATAATGCTGTGATAATTCTTGCTTTTGTGGTAAAGATACCAGCCTGATTTGGTGGTTGGAAGGCGATGCGCGTTCTCAGCTCGGTATCGGTATGCAGCTTGAGCTCCACCTTTGGAGGCTCCTAGGGCGAACCCGTAGAACAGACCAAAGGAGACCGCTAATGGAAAACGCGCGAGGAATGGTATTGAGAGTCGTGAGTCTGTGCTTCCAGTGATAGGAGGGAAGTAGACGGAAGCGTCGGCAGTCGAGTCACTGGTTGCAGGTTCGGCAAGAGCTGAAGCATCCTCTTGGGCTTTTTGATGTGCTTTGGATGATGTAACAGGCGACATCACGGCGCATTGATACACTGTTGGGCCCCAGCAGTGCTTCACTTTACAGGCAGATCGTTTATATACCGGATCGCGAGGAATTCAACGTGTTTGGTAAGTCTTGGGTGCGCCGTGTGGTTTGGTTTGCTAACGGGAGTCACCCTTGAACGCACCACCCCCGGAAAGCGCAACACTCATTGACCAATTCCGAATCCACCGGTTATCGACTGTCCGCATTAGAACCACCCAGAGCTCAGATCCCAAAACCCTGTATCGTAACTGTTATAGAGATGTGCTGAGTCTATCTGTTTTAGTGACTTGGTTATGAAGTTGAGAGAGCTGGTAGGATGATAGAGTTGTAAGCTCTTCACTGGAATAACCATTCTAGACTTCCGGGGGTAGCTCCGGGTCAAAGTGTTGCGTTCGAGGGGCTATTACGTTCAACTCATTGTCAATAGAACAGATATTTATCTGCCCTGATCTCACGTTCTTACATCTGCATAAAAAATTGCAAGGGCACAACTTCACACATTGATGATCACATATCACAAGATCTTCTAATTCTACGGAGTATAGCTAGAGAAGATTGGCAGAACGGAATCAAGAATGTACCTAGTAATATCTCAAGTTCAGCATGAAAATTACTAGTCGACCGTTAACACCTAACGTTCCTCTCGCCGGTTGCCATAGTATTAATGTGCCATATGATGTATAGTTGACGTGATAGCTTTCAAGCACCAACAACCTTCAACACACCACTTCATCTACTTGCAAATAAGGTTTTTAAGTTACTGCGTGCTCTCAGTGATCTACACCGCACTGAAAAGCATGCTCCTCCTAGCTCTATAACCAGCGCTTTCTTTGCATATCAATGATCATTCAATTCGGCACGGCTTGCCGATATCTTTTCCAAGGAGATCCTCGGAGTCCCACACTCAGCATCTCCAAACGCAATTCAAATCATGTGGGAGGACTCTGAGCCATCAATCTGAGTGAAGATGGGGATGCTGAGTAGATCGACAGACGAAGGTTTCGATCCTCTAACCAACTCGATAAAGCGCTCACCCATCTTGTCAGTAGTGTGGATTGTTGAGGTGTGTTGCGTGATGCTAGGAGGCTGAAAATGCGTTGTGGGGCCTTGGCGCCCATGGAGCTATTCATCCGAACTTTTGCATCTTAGGTTTCTAGCTAGCGACACACTACTTACCAATTGAGATTCAGAGTCATAGTGCTCCACAGCGTCATCAAAATTGCCAAAGCCAGCTCCTTAGCTGGCACGCCGCATCTACTACAGTAGGAGGAGTCAGTGAGGGGTACATCAACTAAGTGTGGTTCGAAACCCACTGGTGCTGTCCCTTTGGAGGAGTGGTTGATGTGTCCCTTTTCTGGAGGCACAAGTGTTCGTAGCACGACGCTAGTAGCAGCTAGTTTAGATACGGCGCTGCACTCATTGCCTAGAAGCTTCTTACGTAGACAACTGTCTAATTGATTGGACAGAAAAATACCACTTAGCTGTTCAAAGCTTAGCTGTCTCGTTTAAGGGATGTTTTGCTTCAAAATATACTAGTGCCGTGCTACGAATACTTCACCCAGGTACCGACGTAGATCTTTCAACACCGCACCGGGACCCTTTTCGATCATAGAAGAGGATGACCAATGTCAATGTCGCATATTCCGAGCCCTCCTCCTTCTTGCTACCGATCGGAAGATTGGACCGCCGCCTTGTGCAGTTTTGGGTGGGAGACTAAGTTAGTAGGAAAGCTCTTTTCCATAGTGCGTGAAAGATGATCAACAACGCAAGGTCCGGTACCATCAAGGCTGCTAACGTACAACCTGCACACTCGGCAGTTTCGTGTCACATCTCAGCAATTTCTTTATAGGCGTTAAACCTATGGACAATCCGGTGGGCAATTCGACTTTTGTTACATATTCATTTGCCGCAGCTTATGCGTTTCCCAAGTATATTCCTGGTTGATTCTGTGTGCCTTTTCGTCCTCGTCAGAAATTTCTAATTGATAGAATGCAAAAGACAATTCCGTTACAATCTCTGTGTATTGGGAAGCTCCTCGTATGCCTTTCACCCCCATTTCTGTTCGATCGATTGGACGGTTCCTTGATCCAACCTTACGTAGGTAGTTAGTACTCTGACAGGTTGACATCCCTCCACAGTCATTCATAATTGTGTCACCGGCTAAAAGTCAACTGGACAATATCCGTGTTGAATGGCAGAAGTATGGGTTATGATTGTGGTGTACGTAGTAGATGCTCCTAAGTTCTAAATACAAAGTTGGGATAGAAGTAGCAAATAGTCTGCCAAGCCAGCCAAGTGCTCCTGCTATGCCCCTCCTACGCTCCTGCAATGTAACAATCCGAGAGGGGCTTCTCCTTTCGGATGTTGTCTATGTCCAGTTGAGGTAGTGTCCATGAAAGCGGCAGAGCATATACACACCTTAGCCCCATATTGGTTTGCAAGTCTTTTCAACGGGCTTCGCCAATCAACCATCGACCGGATCCGATCCAGGCAGTGGGACACCCAACTTAAAGGTGCAGCAGCTATCATAGAAACCCAAAGCACGACTTGCATCCTGCCGAGAAGCATCTCATTTGTCGTGATGAGTCGCACAGCAGATGAACAGACGATGGAGCTCGTCTCTTTTACGAGTGGAGCAAGTATCTAGCAGATCTCTTCGAGAATTCGTCCCTCACCTGATATACGCATCACACCTCCCTTTCGCTCCTGAAGCCGGCTACTACGTACCGTTGGTATGGAGCCGCCTCGAGCTTCAAGGTCAGATCGAGTCATACCAGAGACTGGTATATAAGTGTGAGAATTGCCCCTTCCTTTCTAGCGAGCGGAATCTCCCTTATCTGCGTTGCTATTCCTAGTTCTAAAATATATTCCTTTACTTATCCCCTCTCAATATCTATAACATATCGTGATCATGAAGTCACTTCTATCTCTCGCCCACTCTCTCCCTTACGCAATCCCGATGTTCCTTGTCCTTCTCAATCCCGTCTCTGCTACGTCGAACACAAGTTGTACTATCCCTCCAGCTCCCACAGTCGTCCCTGTCGTATTTCCCCTGTCTGAACTACCAGACTACTACTACCAACCTCCTGTTCATCTATCCTCTGCCGACCAGCTCAGCATCGAGGTATCTGAAAGTCAAATCCGTGATAAGCTCTCGCTCTACGCCCTCGCTCTGGACGGAAAGGCCTTCGACGGTCTTGATTACGTCTTTACTGACGACGTCGTGATCGATTTCTCGAATCCAGTTGGCCTGGTCCGGGGACTTGCCAACGTCAAAGAAGCTCTTGAGGGGGCTCTGGATGGCTTTCGGACCCACACCCTACTCGGAACCCAGGTGATCAACGTGGACCCGAACAATACGTGCACGGCTAGCACTCTACACTACTTCACCACCACCTTCTACGGGACGGGTGACCAGGAGGGAAGGGTAAGAGATACGTCTGGATAGAATTTCTCTACGTTCAATGTGGCTAATGTGAGAGCAGTCTGCCGTCACCACTGGGCAATATCGGGACAGATGGTACCAAAATGAGGCCGGAGAGTGGTTTGTCGTTCTCCGACTTACCATTTTCTTTGTAAGCAACCTATCTCACGTCTTTGCTTTCGTACCATTACAATTGGGCTGGAGAGCACGGGCTGACCGAAATTCTCAAGGGCTCCGTTGGGAACCTGACTTTCTAATGAGGGTTGTCTCTGGTGAGTTGATGGTTGGGAGGGGGCTACTCATCTCGAATGCGATTTCAAACCTCGATGGTGATGGTGATGATGATGATGACGATGATGGCGAACAAGCTGGCAACTTACCCTTGCCTGATAAATATAAAGTTACCGCTATATACTCGTATATGGCAGAACTGCAGCAATAAGCCACGAAGAAGAAAAAAGCCCATATCTAGCCAATTCGCTTCTGGACTTGCGCCAGGTACAATTGGAAAAACCCACACTCATTCAGCGTAATGACTCAATACATCGGTCTGCTTTCCTGCTTGATTTAATGGCTACCTTTCATTACCACTGGGCCCCCCATGAACCCCTAACTAGATGAATGCCACCATAAATAGAGGACGCCCCGTTTCAGGCACCCAAGAAAGAATCGCATGAGCTGTGTGACGGATCTCTTGACGTACCCGATCCACTCACCCCTTACATACCTACCTACCTACCTAGCCAGCCAACCAACCCATGAATCACCTCCACTCTCTCCGCCTCAACCTGCATCCACCCGTACTGAGGGTACCCGGGTGGGTATAAACGTGGGTGTCGGGATAAACGGAAAGTGGAAAGTAGTGAGGTCGAAGGTCGATGTTCGATGGTCGATGTAGGAAGTACACCACATCGACTACATACTGTACCCATGCCATGCCATGGCACAGACAATGGTTCCAACCGGTTTCGCGGCTGAGAATAACAATGGATTCTTATATGTACAAGGCAGCATGGACGGTAGCATGTTGTACCAAAGTCATCTGGTCTATTTTATGTCTCCTAGCACACGCATGCTTGTCCTACCAAGGCGCTGACGCCATCGTGTGAATGACACATCCGTGGAGTTACTATGGAGGATGATTTGGCCGGGTATCTGAAGGAGGCAACATTTCGAAGGTGGGTCCGTCTGCCGCCGTCGTGACCACTGCTTTGGCATGTGAGTTGGGCGTCAAGTCATGAAGAAACTTTGAAGGTAGATTGCTCCTCTCTTCACTTTTGATCTTCGTGTCGTGTCTTGGACCCTCCAGGGATTTCTGGAGGTCTCGCGAGCTCACTCTGGCTGTGCCAGACATTCGGGGCTCTTGCTTCTCAATTTCCATGTTTTGCTGAGACTTCTTGAATGCTTTTGCTCGATTGATAATGTCATTTTTGGCTTGTGGGGTGGCGTCATTATTGCCTGAGTTTGTCTGTTCTGCTTCGAACAGCGCAGCCAGTGCTGGTGTGAATGTCTTCATATGTTTGATATCAGATACTCGAACACGCATGTAGTCGAATGCAACACCTATGTTCATATCCGTCTTCGGCAGGTCGGAGCCTGAGGGGCTCCATTCCACAAGCTTTTCGCTCTCTTCCATATATTCCGACTCGCCATTAGACAAGGCATCTTCAACGGCTCTACCGGTCTCATCCAACTCGTCTAGAGTTGCTAGCGATTCCTCGACGCTGTCGCTTGGAGGCCCCTTCATTGAAGATGGTAGCTTGATGTTTTCCATGACAGGTAACTTCTGGTAACGCTGACTAAAGTGTGTAAGTATCAGGTTTTTGGCCTCCATCTTCGCCGCGACGCCTAGTGCCTCGCCAGTTGTCGAGTGCTTTTTGGCCAGCGCATCTCCCTGCATGTCATCATCAAAAGTGGCTTCATGAATGAGCACATCGGAATCTTTCCCGATTCTTGCAAATTGAAGGGAAGGACGACAGTCGCCACTGTAGGAGAATTTGAACCCATTTGCAAATGTGATGGCGATAGCTTGAGCACCATGACAATGCTCCACATGGGTTGTCCTCAGATGCTTTATGCCGATCTGCTGGAGCAAGGAATTTGCCTTCCCCCCCAACTTATCTGAGATGGGTGCTTCATACCGCTGACACAAGAGCTCTTCCACGTTTCCCAGCTTCTCAACACTTTCATACTCTTCTAGGAACTTGAGCAACTTACTACCAGAAGCAACGACAACACGGCAGGGTGGATCGTGAGGCGCATTTGTGCCCCTTTTCCTTCGAACCGGCGTATTTACGTTTTTGCAAGCGTGTCGATGTGAGAGTAGTACAGAGATGGTACCAAGATGATGATCTGCATGTCCGTGCGATAGCCAGATGAATTTAAGATTTCTTAATACCTCGCCCAATTCGGGGCCGTCAAATATTCGACGCAGCTGTCCGATGGTGTTTTCTCCGCAATCAAACAAGAAATTACCATATCTGCCTGTCCGCAGGAGAGTAGCCGAGACGTTGCGATATTTCGATGGCAGAGCAGAACCTGTTCCAAGCGTAATGATCTCAGGGTCATATTCTGAATATTCATGACCTCTCTGGGCATCAATACCACTTCCAAAAGCCATCTCTGTGGCGACCTGTTGACAGGCAATGCTAGCATATTGTTGGACTTTGATTGGTAGATCGTTGACCACCTCTGCAATGTTAAGCAGAGGCGGAATTTCATCCTTGCTTATCAAGAACTCTGGCTCTATCTGGACCTTCAAGCCTCTGTCAGCTGCAGCGAACTCATCAAGTCTATGGCTTCTTCCAAGACTTGAAGACTGAAATTGTGGCAATGTAGCATTGTCGTGGAATGGAACAGGGAAATAGTTTCTGCAGATGCGCGAAAGTCGGACCGCCGATGCAGCAGATGAATCGAAGGAGAGATAATTTGGACAAACCTCTGTAGAGGAGACGATGTGCTCCACGTCAGGCATAGACTTCATAAACATCCTCAGTTTAGTGGAGTATATTACTCCTGGCGCAAGAATCCAGCAAATTGCAGCGACACCATTTCTAATCTTATCAGATGTCCACTCTGGACGGCGAATCAGATTCTCTACGTATCTCGCAGAAGGCAGCTCAATGATGGCAATGCCTCGACTAGGCTTGGTAGGTCCTAGCACCATATCCGACGTAACGATAGTCCCATCCTTCAAGGTGACCGAGTTCCCAGCCGCCAAAGAGCTATATGACGGTCCTTCTGGTACACCAAGAGCTTGCGCCTTCCGAATATCGAATTTTCCTCGTTGAGGATATCCTTGCACTATGTAGGACATTGCAGGCTTGAAGCCAATATTGCGAACCGGAGGTAAGTCCCCTATAAGGGCGTTAGGCCAAGGATGTCTGACCAGCACTTTGATATTGGGTAGAGAATGGCCGTCACCGGGTCTTGGCCCAGTGTAGCTTGTAATCCTTTTCGTCTCCGGGTCCCGAACGAACATTGCCGCAGGCATCTTCACATCTGCTAACGGCGTCTCAAAGAGCGCATCACGGTTCCAGTCGGAATTGAACATGTCAGTGACTATGCGCTGCCGCACTTTTTGATGCCGCTGATGCTGGTCAGGGTCAGGACTACCAGGTAGGATGCTTCCGTCACCCCCTTGTGTGAATTGATCATGACTTCGTTTCCTCCCATTTGTGCCAAAGCTTCCCTCTGCACTCGAAGTACTCCCATCTGAGGTCTCCGCTTCGTCGCTCTCAGAGGCTTCAGAGACAGAAGGCGCTATGGGCATGGCCCACACTCGAATGTTTTCGTCGCTCCAGGTGGGCCCATCAAGATTCGGCTCATCCGAATGTTCAATTTCATTCACTGAGATGGGTAGTCCCTTCCGAAGGACAAATCCCCGGCAACAAGCCAACGTCTGCAGCAGGCGTTCACCTCCGTGTATTGTCAACGCGTCGCCTTCCATGAAGCGGCTCTGCTCTTTAGAATCTTGCGAGATCCGAGCATCTGTTGTAGAGGTAGCCGCGCCGGCAAATCGAAGCATATCAGACTCTCTTTCCGCTGCTTGAGCATCGGCCATCGTTAGCACCATCCCTATCAAGCCTCCGGTGTTATTCCATGTGGTTGTGCCAGAGAGGAAAATATGCTTTACTTTCTTAAGCCCAATGCCACGTTGTACGCATGCTCGTTGTGTACCTTCCGAGATATCGCCGAAAATGTATCTTTTGTTGTCAAAATGGAGGAGAAGTGAGGTCCCGACAGTATCAGCCGTTGGTGTAGTGATGAATTGGAAGTAGAACTTCTTCCGCGATGCTCCAGCTCGACCCATCTTGCTCGCGCGTTCGCTTTGAAATGTACTTCTTCCAAGTGCTGTACCTCTGAGTGTCACGCTTGTAACGAATGTACGCTGGAGAGGACAGCCGGAGAAGGTTATCCTGCCGTTCCTATAAAATTGGAGTTTCCTTGAACCCCAGCTTCCATCTCTGCGTATACTTCCCTGCGGTAGACGTTTCGGGCAGGATTTCCAATCCACGCTCGGCCTTACTTTGGGAACTAGGCTAACCTCCTTGATGTCAGACTGCGAGGATCTGGTTCGAAGAGATCTTGCCCCGGTTGTTCTCCTGTGCGATTCTCGTGCAGTTGGGCTTAAACAGTATCGTGCATTGTAGGATGAGAAAGGGATAGAGGCGTGTTGCAGATTAAGGTCAGCGTGGATCTGCGGCCGGCGCAGGTACATAGAAGGAAGAGGAAGGCACAGGTCGATCTAATACCTCTGGTGCGGAGTTATGGTAGGTGGTTGAATATTATCTTACAAAACGACGGAGACTCTTTTGCCTGGATTACATGTACTACTAGTACGGGAAGCACGCTACTACTTACTAGTAATGTCTAGCAATCTTGGCATGCTTGAGTATCACAGAATGCGTTATGATGTTGGTTGGAATGGATGCAGAAGTGGAAATCACTCGAAAGTTGCTCATTTTTATCCTGCGGTTTCTGGTCACTCGGACACAGGATATCAGGCTCAGTTGCCAGGAAGTATGAGTTAACCCAAGCATCGGCAGCAGATTGTGCATTCCAATGATATGGAAGATGCCTTGATTAGGTTGTTGGTCGCTCAAGGACCTCCTTTGGTTCCAGTCGTTAAAAGTGATACATAGACTCCCCATAATCGCTCGCCACTTCTCACCAATCCCGAACCCAGCGGAATGCACAGAACTTCGCTACCAACCACGCCAGCCCACGTCAACCACGCCAATAGCATTACAGGAGAAGGTCAAGTCAGATGAGAAGTGACGGCTGCAATGCGTGCCGAGATGGCATCAAGTCGAGAACACATCAGAACTAGTCTTGAGGTAGTGGCAGTCTCAGCATCTACTCCACCAATAAGGTGGTCAGGATGTGAGTCAGCCGTTGTCGCGCTGATCATGTGATGAGCCACACATGGCACAGTATGGGTTGCTTTTGAACGATTTGACGGTGCTTCAGCATAAAGCTCAAATGCTGTTCTATCCAGTACCACGTCACGTAGACTATGGGTAGGATACGAGGGTGGAGCGACATTCTTGCCTCCGTATGAGGACGTTGGGTATTCGATAGTGGGCATGTCGCGTTTGACGGACTCGAGCGGTTGGACCGGCCGATCGTCGTCTGCCTTTCCGGATAGCTTTCCTATGTCGAGGACAGGTCCCTCAGGTAAGCTGGTTAGGGAATATACGGGGAAGTTGCTGAGACTTATGCCAGTATTCCAGCTTGATGCAGTGGAAGTATTGTCTGCTAGAGAGAAATCCAGGGGTATTTCAGGAATTGTGGCCATGCCGATCTGTTGTTGCTGGTTCTCCAATTGACGAGTGACTTGATGTGGATTAACGTCCTTTTGCGAGGGTTGGGGTTGCGGGCGGGATTGTCCTTGCGACGGATTGCTAGAGGAAGATGGTGGAGCAGTGCCACTCAGCTCGCTCAAAAAGCCCGAGAATGCCTGAGATGAAAGCAGCATGCGGGTGAGGTCAGTCAAACGAGTGTTTTCCTCCATGAGCTGACGGTTCTGAACTTTAAGGTCATTGGCTTCCTGTGCCTTCATAGCAACTTCACCTTCAAGTTGACCGATATATTCTAGAGATGATTAGCATAAACCAGCGTTGAGTCAATTGGGGGGATAACCTGCCTTTTCTACGTGAACGGAATGCACGAGCAGAGACCTTGTTGCGCAGCTGGCGGCGTTCTTTGCTGCTGAGCTTCTTGCCCTCTTCACTGGCAAGAAGCCTCTCGTCCTCGTCCATTTCGTCCTCGTCTTTCTTCAGCCTAGCAAGATGTGGCAGATTGGCTGTTGGGGTAGAGCAATCATCATCGACCGATGCGACGCTGCTTTGCCTCATCTGATTGAGAAGCCGCGAGATGCTTTCCTCAACATGTGGGTCTTTGGGATGGTGGATTTTCGAGCTTTGGGAAAGTGGGCGTTGACCTTGCGGCATTTGCTTTGGCTGCTGACCAACCACGCCCTGCTTCTGTGCTTGTTGGGCTTTGGCTTGAGCAGCTAGCTGTGAGTGCATGCCAGGATACATCCTCTGTACCGGAGCAGAACTGCTTGAGGAGGCATTGTCCTGGCCAAGCAGAGCGTTCGGGTCGATGTACCCTGCTTTAGCGGACGATGCAGACGAGTAAAACATATTATCTGTAGGCGAGTCTGCCTCGAGGTCCATATCCATCGATGGATACGCCGCGAAGTCGAACTCATCCATATTGGTCAATGGGATATTCAGAGTCTCCATTGGCATGATAAAGCCATTGCCGTATCCATTGTATTGCATGCCAGTGGCTTGGTTGAGTGCAAAAGTATTTGCTAGTCCTCCAACAGGCAACCCAGTCTGCTGTTTGTAAGAATCATATTGGAAACTCGGGCCGGAGAATGTTTGTTGAGGCTGGCTACCGCCGAAACTGCTTCCACCTGAGCTGTGTCCAGCAGGGGACTTGGACCTCATATCGGGCGATGTGGAAGACGAGTTGACAGCATTCTGGCCAAGGTCGAGGAATTTGTCCATATCAGGATCGAAGTCTGCGTTGAGATGAGGCATATCAGACGATGTTGATGGAGTCTGAGTATCCATTGAGATATGTACCCAACGCCTAAAGTTGGAGCAAGGGACCTTAAGGCTGTGCCAGAGGGTCGAGTGGAGCACTAGTTGCTATTTTCAGCAGGCCTGACAGGATGACGCGGCCGATCGACGAGTCGAAACTGGCGTCGGTAGCTGTGTTTCTTGGAACGCACAACAAGATATGGATTAGAAAGAGGTATCGCCCAGAGTCAGTTCTGGGAGGGCGTAGATTGTTGATAGAAGAGGTGCGGTGCTGGAGGTTGCAAAGAGGATGAAACGTTGAAGGAATAATCATGCACTTGAGGAGACACGGACATTCACAAACCATGGCCGATTCTCGCAGGATTTTGGTTGAGGCTGTGCCAACAACGGCCGTTGATTGGTTACCTCGGACTTGGAAATCACTCCGCCGTCATATGCATGCATCAGACCCTCTTGTGCAGCCGAGTGTGATTGGCATCACTGTCTTCCGCTTGTATCGATCGTTCTCAATGTGATAAGTCCATAGATAAATGAGGATTTCAGTTTCAATATGCAATACGTCGATCTAATCTGGTTTTACTGCTGCCAAACAATATTGAGGATTGTTGTTTGGACTTCTTGGTGGGTGTATTTCAGGGCTCGGAGAAGATGTGCTGCATCAGGGGGCACAACTACACTAGTAGTTTCTCGGCGAGTGTAACCCGCCGATTTTCCGTTGCCAGCTGTTCGGTCGGTATCACGTGACTATAATTCTACACCATAACAGCATTCATCACTGGGCCAAAATAAGCGAGACTTAACGGAGTACCGTGCAAAGCTTCGATTGTCGTCATCACAGCGCAGTCTTAAATATGTGGAAGATAGAAATGGCCCGGTCTACGTTTGCAGTGAGCGTAATTGTGCCAGTAACTATGAGACGCAAGCTGTTGCGCAAGGGGTACGTCTACCCTTGTTTAAATAGAAATACTGGCGTTCTGACTAGGATTTCATGATCTGAGCAACGGTGTCGCTCAATGCTGAAAGCTCAACTCAGTCAATGTTGATGTTCACAGGGTTCTTGGGAGTATCAAGTATGCAGCTTCATGGCTTAGAATTAATGCTGTGTCTCAACGACTCCGTGCAATTTGAAGAGAGGCTTTTAGCTGAGCCTTGGCCGAGCATTGGCCGAGCATGAGTCAGACAACCTGAAGGCTAGCGTCTTGCTTGGGCGGTGTAAATCTCTAAGTAGCTTTCCTCTGATACTAATTGTCCTAAGGTACTCCTTACGGTGAAGCATCAACCAAGCGTTCTTTGCCATTATACAATCAGTCTGGCCACAGAGTATGACCGAGTCTGCCTTCAAGCAACCCTTATCGTTGTTGCTGCGACAAGAATGGAATCTTTTTGGTCGCAAAACGCAATGGGCGCACAAATCACGGATCGTGAGAACGCATGTCACAGCACCAGGAGCAACGACCGAAGCCCGCCGTCATCAAGCTGACATTCAGTGGATACGCCATGACCAGCCAACAACAGGACTTCCTCTTCCTCATCAACAACCCTTACGTCTCCGGGAGGAAACAAATCCTCGTCCGCTATCGTCCTACCTGACAGACGACTTTTCTCGCGCACACAACTACCTGCGTATTTCAGTGACAGAGCGATGCAATTTGAGATGCGTCTACTGTATGCCCGAGAATGGCGTCCCTCTGTCTCCATCAGCGCATCTCCTCACAACTCCTGAGATTGTCTATCTTTCGCAGCTGTTCGTAAGTCAGGGTGTTGATAAGATTCGGTTGACTGGAGGAGAGCCCACAGTGCGGAAAGACATTATAGATTTGATGACGCAGATCGGCAGATTGAGAAGGTCAGGCTTGAAAGAGCTTTGTCTCACAACGAATGGCTTGACGCTTCATCGCAAGCTGGATGCCATGGTCGAAGCCGGCCTTACCGGTGTCAATCTGTCTCTAGATACTCTTGATCCATATCAGTTCACTATCATGACCCGACGCAATGGTCATGAAGCCGTGACCCGATCCATTGAACGAATATTAGAGATGAACAGACTCGGTGCGGGTATCAAGCTGAAAATCAATTGCGTCGTTATGCGGGGGATCAACGAGCGTGAGATTATACCTTTCGTCGAGTTGGGAAAGAACAAAGATATTGAAGTCCGCTTTATTGAATATATGCCATTCGATGGCAACAAGTGGTCACAGGGCAAGATGCTGAGCTTCAAAGAAATGCTTGCAACGATACGAGAGAAATATCCTGATCTACAGAAGATCCAGGACCACAAAAACGATACAAGCAAGACGTATCAAGTCCCGGGTTTCCTGGGGAAGTTGGGCTTCATTACGAGTATGACACACAATTTCTGCGGGACCTGCAACAGGTTGCGCATAACCAGCGATGGTAACTTGAAGGTGTGCCTTTTTGGTAACAGTGAAGTCAGCCTTCGAGATATCCTTCGCGAGAGAAACAATGGTGAGCCTATTGATCAGGCAGCTGTGGACGCAATAGACCAATTAGAGACAGATGCTCGCAATGCCTCTCTCAGAGACAGTGACGTTTCAGAGCAAGACCAGCGGCTGCTGGAGATAATCGGCGCAGCTGTCAAAAGAAAGAAGGCGAAGCATGCGGGAATGGGCGAGCTCGAGAATATGAAAAATCGACCTATGATTTTGATTGGTGGGTGAGCATCTGACCACCTCCCCTCCTCTTGTTTTCGTTTGAAAGCACCATATACGAAGTTGCACCTGTGTATTTCGGCGGTCAGTGTGATTGATGATAGCACGACATCAGATAACGTCCAAAAATAAAATATGATCTATATGTGTTATCTGTGCAGACCTGGCAAATTCGTCTGCGCTCCAGAACTTCCTGGCTGATTCACCTGTGTGTAGATGACCACTACTCGGCTTTCACACTTCCTTCCTTCTCCCGCCACCTCTCCCAAGAAGCCACTCTATTCTCTCCTCAGCCGAGACCATACGTTCAAGCACCGCAATTTCCTATCCTTCCAAGCATACCTTTTGGTATTCAGTTGCGGCGATACCATACTAAAGCCAGGGAAGACATCATTTCACTTCGCAATACTAACGCTACGAAACCAAAAAAGCCTAAATGGCTTCGTCCGGTTCATGGTCAAGGGAGTTTTCGAAAGATTCCGTCCCCTGATCCAGTCTCCTGGATCACACCATCCGAGCCCGCACGGACATGGCCGTCTCCTGTCTTTGGGTATATACCGCCAAAATATAACCTAATTCAGAACCCTCGCCATGAACCTCAGCTCTTGTCGGATACATACATCCAGGCCCAGCCACCGGATGAGCTAACACCAAGAAATTCACGAAACCCACAAAAAGATTCCACTGCCCATTCAAATAAGTCGCAGCAAGTGACCACTTCCACGCATGATTCAGCAACAGAAGCTATTGTACATTCAGCCCTGGTTCGCAACACACCCTTGCAGGATTCAGGAAGTACAAGTTATGTTTCATCTGCAAGGACCGCCTCGTCACTATCAACTGCAAAGAAGGCATCCTTGATGCCTTCCCCAACTCGCACGACATCAACTAAGGGAATTGGTAGAAAGCCAAATACTAGACAGACCAGGAATATTATGACTCTGAACAATCCTTTTTTCACCTCTTTGCCTGGTGCATTCAACAATGACGAGCCGCTTTCTTCTCAGCAGGAGCCGGTCAAGCCCCTGTCGCATCTCACCTCAACGGGTGATGCGCACATGGTGGATATCTCGCACAAGCCACCCACCCGCCGTGCCGCCACTGCTAAGGCCTTCGTGTTATTTAGCAACACCCATCCTTACACTTCTTTGACTCAAAAATCCTTAGCCAAAGGCGACGCCACCGCTGTTGCTCGTCTAGCCGGCATCCAAGCTGCAAAGAAAACTGCAGACTTGATTCCGCTGGCTCATCCCAGTTTAGGCATCACTGGTATCAAGGTCGACATCGACCTGCTTTCGCCCTCAACTGAAACCCATGCTATTAAACCAGATGACTACATTGGAGAAGCAGGCTTTGAATTTGGTGGTGTGAAGATCACAGCTTATGTCTCTTGTGACGGAAAGACAGGGGTCGAGATGGAGGCTCTAACCGCGGCAAACATGGCTGCATTGACCATGTATGATATGTGTAAGTCAGTTGACAAGCACATGGTCATTACTGGAGTAAGAGTCACCATGAAGAAAGGGGGCAAAAGTGGACCCTGGAGCGTGGATGGGGATATCCCGAACGATCCTCCTCCGGCACAGATTTTTGAGTCAGTGCTGCAGAGGAGAATGGCCGGCCTTGTAGATGAGCCAGAAGCCCACGGCCCAGTTGGCGTTCCAGACTCTGGCCCCGAGATTGTGGAGCAGGATGATGGCGCTGTTGTACCAGAAGCCGATGAGGCCTTCCTCCAAAGCGCCGCTACCGAGCTCGAGCTCTTCATTGCAAACACCACCTCTCCTACCAAAGCAGCCGAGATTGCTGGACTGCGCCGCAGTCACAAGTCTCTAAGCGCCAGAATCAAAGAACTGCAGAGAAGGACCGAACAGGGCTATGAGGTGCAGGGCAGCGTCCAGAGCGAGTGGCATCGAGACGGAAGAGTAGACCATGACATCCTTCAGCGTCTGCACGGGGAGCGACGCGAGATTGCTAGGAAGGTGCTTGAATGGAGAATTGGAGGCGGTAGTGAGGTGAGGGAAGCTGATAAAAATGAGATGGGAATGGAGCTTGGGAGTCTATGTCAGCGGACGAAGGAGGAATATGCAAAGGAGGCGGAGGGACAATGGAGGTGGGAGGCTGGGGTGTATGGGGTCTGGCGTGGTGATCAGCCCCATCCAGCGAGCCAGGGGATTCGCATAGAGGAGCAGATGTATGCACGGGAACATCCTCAAGGTGCTGAGTCTTGAATGCTCTGACGTTTTCGTTCTGCATTGAGCGGGGGAACTACAACGCGAGATGAGCTGTACAGATACCTGTGTAGGTGTAGATGGTACTATCCCCACAACTCTTTGTACATGAGATCCATCTTATCGTCGATCGTTTGACCTTGGTGCAGCAGCTGTCGGTGAGGCCACGATATGCAGTGCAGTGGTTGGGTGTCTGATCTGGCTTGGCTGAACCTCCTCAGTCCGGAGGTCGTCCAGCTTCTCGAGCAAGCTCATTGTCATTTCCTTCATAAGGCAGCATCACGCAAATTTGGTAGCGTCGATGTTCGCCCGCGCACGTCTGAAGCGATGTGTCTCTGTAGCATCTCGCATAATTATTCCTCGAGCTCACCTCTTTTCAAGAGGACACGTTGGGAAAGCTTGCCTCGCGTTCCAAAAACCATATACACTATCAGAACAATGTCATACCTCAGCAGCCAAGAATACCGAATATCAAGGCTCTTGTTATCATCTCTCAAGAAGATCATCGCTAACACAAAAGGCTTTTAGTGGAATCCTACCATTACTGCCTTTGTTACCATCATTACGATGCTGCTGCGGCCATTCCAGGTTACAAAGCATGGCAAAACTCCGCCCCTGCTCCAGGCACTGTACAAGACGCTGATTTCTGGATTCTCGTCCAGGGTTCGATTATGCAGGTGCTAGGACTATGAGCCATCATCTTTACGCTGCTGATCTCCAGTAGCAGCTTGCCTGCTCGATCTCAACCATGGTTCTGGACCTGGGGCTTTGTGATGATCAGCCTCATCTGCTCCGTGTCAGCGGTTCCGTTGTATCTTCGGTGGCCAACGGAATGGAGTCAGACAGTCTCTTTTCTCGGATCTGCGGCACAAGCGTTTGCCATCCTGCAGGCAATGTTTACCATGGAGAAGTCTTCGAGTAATGCAGACAAGAACAGATAGTAGGAGCGAGTTCCTCTATGCTTCGCCCAGCTTCGCACCTTTCCGTTGAACGTTCGCTAGGATACTCGGCCTAACCTGGCATTTATCGCCAACCAAGAAGTCTCGCCATTTTTTGCAAGCCATGAAAGTTCCCAATGTCCAGATCACGGGAAGCAGACCCGGCAGACTGCAATGAGATAAGTTTCTGGCGGATCTTTTTTCTTGAACAGTATATACGACAGCAACCTGTTAAACGACTTCAGGCATGTTTATGGCAAAGGTTCGAGCATGGGAGAGAACGCTTAGGAGTGTGTTCGTCCGATGTATATGGTGAGCCACCATGCCTCCAAAAGTCGTCACATTGGTGCCGTCGCATTATGTAGCCGAAGCCGACAAGTAGACAAGAAGTGTGATCCTCAAAGAATATGAATCAACCAATTGGTGACCGTTTGTCAAGAATGTTGAGCCTTCACGTGGAGACTTCATCGCAAACGAAGAAGACCCTACGCTGGGAGATGAGATCATTTCGGAGAAGTGACGCCTTCACACAGGCAGAGCGGCGCCCCTAGGCCATAACTTCCATTAAGAACCTGACATACCTCTCCCCTTTTAGATCGCTGCCTCCGGTTGTGGTGTTCAACAGGGATTTTCTACATCGTTATATACCACGCCATCCATCCTCGCGACATGTCGGCTCCCCACAAAAGAGGCGGAGAGCTACCTATCAACCATTGTCAACAGAGCTGCAACGACTGCAATTTCTCCCCTTTACGAACCAGTCAGCACCTCCCCATGGGCTTGTGCTTGTGCTTGTAGCCCAATCTACTGGCTCCGTACGTGCGCCGGCATCAGCCTGACTTGCATTCAAGAAGGGAATTTCTTTGCCAACTGGCAATTAGAACAGCGAAGAATATCATGAAGTGCATCCTCATGTCATGTAACCGCAGGGAACGCTTCCATCCTATTCAGGGGGTACTATATACAAACCAGCTCCCGTATCCTACATCTCCGCATTGATTCATTCTGCTGTCTCATCCTCCTCCACCCACCCGAGCGCCTGCCCAACCTTGACCCTCTGGCCCTTTTCCACATTCCACCTCCACCTCAACCCGCGCCTTAGCCTCTCCCTCTCCCTCTCCCCTTCCTCTCCCACCCCCTGTCCCATTGGCGCCTCAAAAACCAAGACAATACTACTCCCCAGCTGAAACCCGCCCATCTCCTCCCCGCGCTTCAACGCATACCCGCCTAGCACGCGACTCGCATTGGCATACGTAGCCTCGCTGAATCCGGAATAAGCTTCCCCGAGATCGGAAGAGCGTCGTG